AATTATTAAAGTTCGCTTTGCAAACATGTTGATATAAACAACGGTAACAGTGCTTAGTTCTTTGAACTCAACGCTTTTAAAAGATACATCATTTACATCAGTCTCAGACTGAGTAGTTAGGCACTTACAATAGTGTTACAACACCTTTGAAAGGCCATTTTCAACCTACATTTTCATGAACATCTCTTATTGAGTATAAAAGTTATATCATATTATATACATGTCTCTATCCTGGGGCGGATCTAGGGGATGGGTTTGGGGACCAAACCCCCTAAATTTAAAAAAAAAAAATGATACATAACAACATGCTGGCTTGGCCTCGGAATGCCGGAAATCCCATTTCTGAGGACCAAGATTTTAAAAATTTTCTGGGAGAGGGTGCCTCCCCGCAGCCTGGTCCACGTCTCAAACCCCCTTCTCTAAACTCCTGTATCCACCCCAGCTATCCAAATTTAATTCGCGGTTCACTGTACATCTTCGTTATTCATTATAACAAATATAAATGAATGAACTCGTTTCTTTGTTTTGGACTTTTCCTAAACCTTACCGTTTGCTGCGCTTCCAGGTGAATAATTATAATGATAATTTTTACACATATTTAGAGCGGTTTTCAATTGAGTGCTGTAAAACCAGAACCACAGTAATTACTCTGGCCAACCACAAGCGATACAGAAAATCTAATGAACCAATCAAAACTCGAAGGAAATAGAACTAACTCACGCAAAGCGCGGGAAACGTATGCGAACGAATCACGATTGCTTTTGGTTTTACTTCTGATTGGATAAAAAAGTGGCACGAGTTTTTTTAAGCCGATTATGTGACATTCAAGTAAAAACCACTGTGGATGGATTAGCTAATAAGTACCCAGTCTTTTGTTGGGGATCTTAGGTGCCTTGCACCATAGTACCGGTACATGTACATGCATAGTCAAATGATCAACATGGCTGCACATTCACTATTCACATACTCCATTGTATAAGCAACACTATTGTGTCCAGTTACACTGCTATTTTGCAGTACATCTGATGAAACACTCGACATGGTACCTCTGCTCTTGTTCTTCCATGCAAACGATTGATTTCTTGCTCGGTTTTGTCGATGTCATGTTCGGAGGCATGGAAGAAGTATTGGATTTCACGAGCTCTGTTTAAGTTCTCCAGGGCTTCTTCTGTTGAACCCAGGGCTCCAAGAGCACAGCCCACACCATAATAAGCTCTGGCGGTGTCCAAATGTTCATCACCTGGAACACACAATAACAGAAAAGAAAATGATTAGACTTTTGAAAGCTCCAAATGTCAGGGGGAGCTAAAGTAAAACTGTCAAAGTGCAGAACTACCCCAATGACAGCGAACAAAACACAAGATAAAAAATAAAGAAAGAAATAAAGAAATCTATAAAGAAGTAAGTCATAGTGGAGGTGAAAACTGTTGTCATGAAGCTCTTTAGAACCTCTTATTTCATTGGATCTTGTCAGCACGAAGCTCTATTATTTTAGGGCCACAGTCCATTGTTACCATATTGTTTGTTAATACCATTTTCTCAGCCAATTCTGTGAGACGTTCCGAAGAGGTTCGTGGTGTAAAAATATCAACACTACTGGCAGACAAGTTTGCAAGAAATTTGTTAAATATCAACTGGAACTGCAGTTAAGTAGCCAATCAGAGTAGATGAAAACAATTACTTACTGCCTTGATATAATTAAAAACCTCTCATGAAAATCATTTGTTGAATTTAGTTCCATACATTGTGCAGTTCCAGAAAATATCCATACCTCCCCCATGGAAGGGAGTCCCCCCCCCCCACCTCTCTGAAAATTTCGATTAAGCTTTATACATTTCTTAAAATTTTTCGGTCTTACACCCCCCCCCCCCTGGAAATTCCAATCCCTTCTGTGGGGGGGAGAATGGATATTTTCTGGAACTGAACATTATAAAATATACATTTTAAGGCCAACTTGTTGAACCTCAATGGGCCATTTCCAAATTACCTTTAGTCTCTTTCTCAAATCGAGTCTATCCTTTCATATGAAAATGAGATTTCATTCACATGCAAATTAAACTCATTTTCATATCATTGAATGGTTGTGCACCAGGCCTTGCTTTGATTGAGGCTTAGGCCAACTCAGAAATTGGCTATTGGTCTAATCTAGTGTGGCTTTGTATCATGACCATGTGCATTACCAGTGGCGGATCCACACCTTGAGCTAAGGGAGGGGGCCTGGTTTTGTTTTGATTGCCCTGCCAGCTTTTCTTCCTTCTGTGATTTCTTCTTTTTTTACCCAAAATAAGAGGGGGGGCCCTCCCCTAAATCCGCACTGAAACACATCAGCTTACTAACTCCATTTCAAAACTACCTCAGCCTCTAGTTCTTACAAACATACTGTCATAATGTCATAATTAATGAAGGAAGCCAAAATAACCTTCCACGCAATGGACCTAACTTACAGGACAAGGGTTACCCCTTACTAACTGTCTGCTTCCTATGGGAGAGCTTGCATACAGCAGCACCGCAGGGGCTGCATTGCTGTCCTTATCCCTACGTAAAAGGGGTAGGGGGTACTGACTCTCACTTCACATCTGTAAAGATGAGGTAACATGGGGGAGGAGTCCCTTACCTGTAATTATAATATAATTGCACAATTGCAATTACGCAGTTCCAGGAAATATCCATGCCCACCCCAATGGAAGGTCACTGGAAAATCTGAGGGGTGGGTCTCAAAAGCCAAAACATTGCAAAGAGTGTTAAGTCAAAGGGGAAGCTCTCGAGAGGGAGTTGGGTGGGTGGGGTGGGGGGTGGGGTTTTCAAGCCGAAAAATAATTTCATGGCAGGAGAATGGATGTTTTCTGGAACATAACAGGAAAAAATGGGTCCAATACTAGTTCAAAGATCCCCGCCTTTTAACCCTATAACCACATAAGGGAATTAACTGGCTTTAAGTTGCTGGCCATTCTGCCCCTTTAGTGCCAGTTGCCAGATGAAGTTGGAGAGTAGAGTACTATTGTAAACAAATTGAATTTAGAGGTAGGAAGAGAAGAAGGATAGGCTTTATAAAAAGGTGATGATACAGTGTGCAAAACACATTACCTAACAGTGATTTCCTCATGGCAAGGGACTCCTTCTTGAAGCCTACAGCGCGTTTGGGATTTCCAAGCTTCTGATAAGCATCTCCAATGTAATGCAGCAATGATGCTGTGAAAGGGTGTGTACCAAGAAGCTCTCGATATCTGACCAGGCAGAGGTTTGTCCAGATGTTCACAGCAGCTTTGTATTTTCCACTGGTAAACATTGCCACTATTAAAATGGAAATAGGACAGAAGCAGCAATTAGTATTTTAATATGGAAATGAAAAAACTGAAAAAGTTTCTCAAAGCAAAAACTGTGATCATTGCAATATATATTAAATAACTTTTACCACAATTGCTACTAAACTCACAATCTGATTAGTTAATTTGCCGTTGTTGATAAGAGTCCAGGCAACACTGCTCGTGTCAATGTGTCATGCAATGCCTTTTTCAGCTTGTGCTCTTGAAAAAACATTTTCTTTATTAGTGAATATTGTGGTAAAAAACAAGTCGAATGTGGTTTAGCGTTGTCTGTACTCTTATCGACAATGATACGCACTCACTTGGCTGTGCGAGTGGACTCACAAGGCACAGCCGAGTGAGACCACAACATTTTGACCACTGTGATGACGCGTACTCATTGTCAATAAGAGTACAGACAACGCTAAACCACATTTGATTTTTTAAGTATGATGTATCATTCAATTCTAACTGGCTACTGTGACAGTATGCCAATTATTACTTTTTCTTTTCATTAAAAAAGCCTTAAATGTCTCAACACCCCTAAATCTCTACTGGGTTTGACCAATCACAATCAAAAATTCCCTTTTCCATCTCCTAACCCCTCCCCCCACCCCCCAATAAAAAAAAGAAACAGTCTGAAACAATTTGCATTATTTAAGGTGGACATCTACAACAAACTAGATGCTCTAAGGGCGTTTACTCAGTCTTTGTACCACAGTATCAAATCGTACTTTACGAAAATGCGTATTGGACACAATAAAAACAAATTAAAGAATCAGGATATTTTAGCACAAGAGTTCTGCTTAGATATTTACTATTCAAGTTGTTTTGTTGAGTATCCTCCTAATCCAATCACAAGTTGTGAGTTTAAACCACTTTGGTTCAAGAATCAAGCACAGCTGTCTACACATTTATGGAGAACTTGTTTGCAAAGAATTTTCCAGGTCTTTTTACAACTTATGACGATTACATTGTGCATGATAGCAGAAATTGCACGAAGTTCGTTTACTGGTCATGGCGATCTGAGTGAATTGGGCAGCTGAACATCTTTGCTGTGTTGTGATCTTAAACCCTTTCCAAGAGTCTCATCTCCTTTGGAGGGCGAATAAATAAGCTCCTTCATGAAAACAACAGTCCTAGGACAAGGCGCAAATTGCATTGCACTTAATTTGCATAAACTTTCAAGTTATGTTTTTTGCAGATAACTTCTGAGAATTTGCGACCCTTAATGCAGTTTATGAAGAAATATTCAAGCTACATATTTTTCTTGAATTAAGGCAGGAGTACTTTTAAAAAGGAACTCNGAAGTCATCAGTCAGTCGCTGTAGCAGTGAAAGGTAGTGGTTTGAAAAACGTCTGATTGCCATACTGTATCCTGTGCAAGCATCCTCTCTTGAGGATTTACAAAAAGCTTGTACCAGGGGATGCAAGCTGTAGCTGCACTCCAGGTTACTCTGGTCTTCATCTTGTTGAACAAGTGAATGTTGTTCAAGGTTGTCAAGTACAAGTTGAAAATCAAGAGGATCTTCATTAGGAAACAATACAGCTTTTGCTTCTTCTTTGGTGAAGGATGTAGGAAATGATGCCAGACAGGCAAGATATTCCTTCATGTCAGGGCCTAGATTGTTATAAAATACTCTAAGAAGAGAATACAGTTCTTTAATTTGAGCATTCTTAGCTTTCAGGAAAATGTGTGGGCAGTTTTGAAGTTTCCTGTGGAGATCAACTGGATGAATTGTTTTCTTTTTTAAAAATGACCCGGTTATTGTTAACAACAGAGGAACTCCACGGCAGGCCTTAGCAAATGCACGTACAAGATGGTCTGAAATATCAGGCACATGATTCTTGAGATAAGCAGAAGAATCCTTACCAGTTAATGGCTTTAGGGGAATGTGTTTGGTGCCAAATGAGAAGACTTTCGTCAATGCATTCCTGCTGGTGATGAGTGTGACAACATTTGATGCCTGTTGACCAATTTCTTCTAAAAAATCCTCAAAGTTTGACCCATCCCCTATTTGAAGGTCCTCGGCATTGTCCAAGATAAGCACAGTCTGGCGTGGAAGGGAACTTAAATAGCTCTTCAGCTGCGAGACTGGATTTTCCTCTGCATAGACACCTACCAATTTCTTCAGCATGTGTTCTGCTGCAAGGCTAAGCCTTTGCACATTCCTGAGTGAAAAATACAGCACATCTTTTCCTTCATCCAACATGCTGTAACCTACATGTGTGGCCACCGCCGTCTTGCCGAACCCAGGTGGAGCGACTATGGTTATTAGGCAAGCGGTATCGTCTCCTTCAGTTGCCAATGACTGTGTGATTTCTTCACAAACATCCATTCTTCCGACAAATTTAGGGACCTTTCTTGGGAGACCAACAGATTTTGGTCTCCATTCATTGCTTTCTCCTGCAGGTTCTTCTCCTGTAAATAAGAGTGAATACTAATTTAAATTACATGAATTAAAATATTATAAATTACGATGCAAATCATAAAGTGATACTTATGAATGATACTTATAATTTTGGTATTTTTAGGCNCTGTACAGGGTCTTGTCAGGCATTCCTTCTGCCACTCGCAAACACTGAGAATACAAAGACATGAACTCATCCAGTTTCATGACCTTTGCCAAGAAGTTGACAGCTTCAGTGGAGACCTGAAGCCCATAATGTCTTAAATCATCATCTTCTATTGATGCCAAAATGGCATGAGAAATGTTTGTCTTTCTGTCATGATACTCGTCAATGACAGTCTTGCAGTCTGTGCTGATGAAGTCATCATTGAGCCGCTGCAGCAGTGAAAGGTAATGTTTTGAAAAACGTCTGATTGCTGTATTGTACCCTGTGCAAGAATCCTCTCTTGTAGACTTACAAAAGGCTTGTACCAGAGGATGTAAACTGTAGCTGCACTCCAGGTTATTCTGGTCTTCAACTTGTTGAATAAGTGAATGTTGTTCAAGATCACCAAGTACAAGTTGGAAGGTGAAATAATCTTCATTAGGAAACAATACATCTTTCGCTTCTTTTTTGGTGAAGGATGTAGGAAATGATGCCAGATAGGCAAGATATTCCTTCATGTCAGGACCTAAATTGTTGTAAAATACTCTAAGAAGAGAATACAGCTCTTCAATTTTTGCATTCTTAACTTTGAGGAAACTGTGCGGACAGTTTTGAAGTTGCATGTGGAGATCAATTGGATCAATTGTTTTCTGTTTTAAAAATGACCCAGTTATTGTTAACAGCAGAGGAACTCCACGACAGGCCTTGGCAAATTCCCGTGCCCAATGGTCTGAAATGTTGAGCACGTGATTCTTGAGATAAGCTGAGGAATCCTTGCTAGTTAACGGCTTTAGGGGAATATGTTTGGTGCCAAAGGGGAAGAGTTCCAATTTTGACACTGCATTCCTACTTGTGATGAGTGTGACAACATTTAATGCATGTTGACCAATTTCCTTTAAAAAACCCTCAAAGTTTGACCCCTCTCCTATTTGAAGGTCTTCGGCATTGTCCAAAATAAGCACAGTCTGATGCTGAAGGGAACTTAGATGGCTTGTCAGCTGCATGACTGGATTTTCCTCCGCATAAATGCCAAAAAATTTCTTCAGCATATGTTCTGCTGCAAGGTTTAGCCTTCGCATATCCCTGAGTGAAAAATACAGCACATCTTTCCCTTCATGCAACATGCTGTATCCTACGTTTGTGGCCACCGCTGTCTTGCCGAACCCTGGTGGAGCAACTATGGTTATAAGGCAAGTGCTATCGTCTCCTTCAGTTGCCAGTGACTGTGTGATTTCTTCACAAACATCCCTTCTTCCTACAAATTTAGGGACCTTTCTTGGGAGACCAACAGATTTTGGTCTCCATTCATTGCTTTCTCCTGCAGGTTCTTCTCCTGTAAATAAGAGTGAATACTAATTTAAATTACATGAATAAAATATTATAAATTACAATGCAAATCATAAAGTGATACTTATGAATGATACTTATAATTTTGGTATTTTTAGGCCAAAATTGACAATAGCTTTCCAATACATCAGTGACATGCAAATTTNATGCAAATCATAAAGTGATACTTATGAATGATACTTATAATTTTGGTATTTTTAGGCCAAAATTGACAATAGCTTTCCAATACATCAGTGACATGCAAATTTGGTCACCACCAAGTAGGCAATCAGCATGCATTCCATAAGAAGATAATCTCTATATTTCATTTCTCCTTCATTATCGACCCTCCAAAACATGATCAGTGGTCAGGTACAGAGACTGAAGCAGTTCAATATAACTTTTCAGAAAAATGCTTAATTTGATCAGATACCCTGGCCAGCTCTCCAAGCCCCCAACTTGTTATAAGCCCTGTTAGTGAAAAGTGGCCAATCTGCCACCTTAATCAAATCACTTCTGGTTATTAGCCCTCCACCATTCAAATTTCCCTTGTTCAGTCACTAACTTCCTCACAGAACATTGTTCTTGAAACAGACGTGGGCAAGAATAATGTTAACAAGAAGAGTGCCGATCAAAATCTATAGCACAGATTGCTTATCACAGCTTTTGAATTGTTTAACTGATTTCCAACCATATTTTAGCCCTCCCCACCCACCACGTTTCGTCTGCAGTGGATATCAACTTTTAATTCCTAAAGTATATTATCTTCAAAAGTTGTACAGGCCAGAGCATGTAACTGNTTTTGGTATTTTTAGGCCAAAATTGACAATAGCTTTCCAATACATCAGTGACATGCAAATTTGGTCACCATCAAGTAGACAATCAGCATGCGTTCCATAAGAAGATAATCTCTAAATTTCATTTCTCCTTCATTATTGACCCTCCACCACATGATCAGTGGTCAGGTAGAAACATCTTAACTACCTACCCATGTGCATTTAGGACAACTGTTGCTGATTCTTAAAGTGATTATAACAAAAATCTCAGAGACTGAAGCAGTTCAATATAATTTTTTCAAATTTAAATGCTTAATTTGATCAGATACCCTGGCCAGCTCTCCAAGACCCCCCAACTTATTATAAGCCCTATTAGTGAAATGTGGCCAATATGTCGCCTCAATCAAATCACTTCTGGTTAGAAGCCCGCCCCTATTCAAATTTCCCCTGTTCAGTTACTAACTTGCTCACAGAACATGGCTCTTGAAGAATGTTTGCAAGAAGAGTGCCAGTCAAAACCTTATGGCTTTTCTATAGAATATATTGTTTATCACAGCTTTTGATTTTTTTTCAGATTGTGTAGTTCCATAAAGTATCCATACCCCCACCACCGAGGGAATTGGAAATTCCAGAGGGGTGGGGGGTCAAAGACCTTGGAAAATGCGAAGGGGAGGGGGGTTGGACGGTTGATTTAGTTTCCAGATGCCCTTCGATTCAATACAGATTCAAGTATCGATCTAGCGGTTCAAAAATCCTTTCTTACCTACTAAGTAGATCTTTCACATGAAAAGAATAGTGGCTTGAATACTTGTATTTGAATCGCATTATATTTGAAATAAATTTTCTTTCTTCAAAAAGCACTTTGAAAGCTGACAAATGCGAAGAATTCAAATGTTCCATTGCATGGAAATGGCCGCCATTACTTGTTTCCAGTCTACATGGAGTCACTTAGTGGGCTGAAAAGCACTGGTGACAAGCCGAGTTTGTTTTCGCATCAGTCTTCGAAGCTGTTGAGTGGTAGTTGATTTCTTTTGTGAAATTAATTTCTCTATAAAGGTAGAAATGATGTTACGATTTCACAAACTTGAGAATTTCTTATTCTTGTTTATCTCTGTCCATTTGTATGTAATTTTCCTGTAAAATTGGGTTTCATTGCGAGTGTGTTAGCAATCAGTCCTTCAACCAAAATAATATCACATTTACATTGGGACTTAGTTGTATAAGAAGGTAATTTGACAAGTTACTATTTTATCTATTTTCTTTTAAAACAAGTTTTAATAAATTGCTGTATGTTTTCTACGTGTGTATCTTCAGACGTTATGATCGATCGAGAATAAACAGCAGTGACATGTAATGTAGATGGCTAAGTGTTTGGAGTATTTACTTTAACTTTAACACAATTTCTTGCCAAAACTATTTTTTTTCCAGAGGGTATTGGGGGGTGTACACATACTTGTGGAAATTCCGGTGGGGTGGGGGGGGGGAATTAGTTTTGTGTTCAAAAATTGAAATTCTGGGGAGGAGGGGGAGCTTACACGAAATTCCCTCCATGGTGGGGGTATGGATATTTTCTGGAACTACACATTTCCAACAATATTTTTGCTCTACCACTTGAGTTATTAGCCCTACCCACCCCTCCTTATCCTAACCCCCGACCCCATCCACCAGTTATCTCCACCCCACCTCAGTTTCGTCTAGATATCAGCTCCTAATCCCAAAGGTATATTTATCTTCAAAAGTTGTACAGGCCAGAGCATATAACCGACATTTCATGGCCCTCTATTTTGCTCTGTTTGACACAAGCAAAGGGAATCTTTGGAAAGAATTCACAATAACGTGGGAATTGAACAAATTCGAAAACTTTCCGAAGCGGTAGGCAGACATATTTTCGGCCGATCGTCAAAGAAACGCTCTACAACTTCGCGTACCGTATTTTGATTTAGGGATTATTAAAGCTTATGGTTTTCTTGTGGAATGGTTCGGCCGAAATGGCGCTTAAAGTTTTATTTCAGTTTGTTAAACTCTCCTGAAGTTTTCGTTTAAAACACGGATAGCAATTTATCGAGAAAGAATCCAGCGTGTGAATTCCACTGAAAACAATGCGTACGAGAACGGGAATTAATTAAGCTTAATGACAATTTTACAAACCCTATATTTCACTGGAAATGCTACATTTGTCATTATTGAACCTCTTTTCCCACCAGACTTAATGAATAACAAGCGAACGTAGGCGTTTTTTGTCACCTGATTACGGTAGGCGGCGAATGGTGGCAAAGGGGTCGAACAGCCGATCATCTTTGCACTTGTACATTGTACGTATACAAAATCAAAAAGTTCCCAGCTCTCACCTGACAATTCCGAGCGAATAGCATTCGCTAAGAAAATCGAACCAGAGCTGTGAAGAGCTTGCAAAAACACTGGGAACGCCTGGGAACCTTTCCGCGGCAGTAAATCTAAGAGAAGCCACGCTTTGTACTCGGTTGTCTTTTCCGCGAGTATCTCTTGGCGGTCATTCTCGTCCAAAATACCTCTAGAATAGAGTTCTTCGGTTATTCTTCTTAGACTTCTTACACCGATGTTTCCTGAGATCTTTAACCGCAACTTCTTTAGGACTTTTCTGTGTGATTCTTCCATGATTCGCTTAACGAGAGCAACTTTCCACGGTCTAATTACTCAACGATGTGATTTCAGGCTTTTTATCAGATTGGCACTCAACCACTTTCTCCGACCACGTGACCAAAAGAAACGGAGGCTCTGGGGACGAGAATGACAACGGTGGAACAACGTGTCGTTTTACCCGGAAGTTTATTTGAAGCTTTTACTATTGCGTCTGCGTAATGCAATTAAGGCCGCTGCCTACTAAATACAAAGGTTTTTGCGCTAGGTTAGGACCACGCGGAAAAAGTAGATCTTTGCAAGGGCTACTAGAATCCCCGAAGAAAAATTGGGGTAGTCATGCATTTTTTCGAGATAATTAG